ATGAATGTCTCGGAGGCGGTGCTTCAAGAGGCCCTCGCACGGGTCGAGCACATACTGCGGGACCTCGTCCGGAAGGAGGCGCCGAGCTCCGCGCACACTCCGCGTGTCACCTTCTGTCTCGGTGATGACGGTGAAAATCTCGTAGATGTCGAAGGGTGCAAGCAGGACTCCGGGGACCTGCAGCCGTGCGGTGAGACGGTGACATCAAGCATTTTTCATTCCTCCCAGGATAGCATCGCTCAGCCTCCACGAAGCCACAGTGAGGTGATTCCTCTACCTGGTTCCTTGCCACAGGCATTAGGCGGACCACCGGGGAGGTTGTCGTTGGATGGCATGCTTGGCAGGCAGACATCGGTGGACAGCAAGCTAGGCAGGCAGACATCAGTGGACAGCAGGGTGTTGAGTGCCTTTTCATCATCCGGGCAGCAGCGGCAGGCATCGGTGGACAGCAGCGCGTCTCAGCAGGCCAATGCTAAGTGGACGAGACAAGTCTCATGGATGGCTGAAAAGTCCAGGAACATTACGCAAGCCATGAGCTTGGACGATGCCGATGACGACGTCCCAAAGTTCCGGGCACATGACCTGTGGCAGGAGAAGGACGACGTCGTTTCCTACCGCAGTTCACGCAGACCAAGTGTGTGCACAGCGAACCTTTTTTTTGAATCTCGGCAGAAGAGTTCACTCAGCCCACTCGTGCTGGAAGGTTGGTCGGCTGTAGCTATGTCGATGATCTTCATGGAAGGATTCAGGATTCCTTTGCTTGCCTTTCCCGGGAATGCTCTGGCACTGATGGATTTGCTGGTTCTCATCTTCTGGCTCAGTAGCGTCCTGGGCGCATGTCTTATGAGACGGGGGGAGCCACGAAGTACTCCGTGGCTGGCATGGCTTTCGCTGGAGACTCTCTTTGCTGCTTCAACTGCATACATGCTCGTTGCAAGCACGGTGCCCTTTGCAGTGCTGCTGAGAGGTTTGCCTTTGCTACGCATTCTCTACATACACATGTTGTGGGACTGCTTGTCTGCTCGGCATCTTCGACCCTGGATCCAGAGACGAAGCCTCGAAGCTCGCTTCTTTGGAAACTTGCTGCTTGCTGTGCTGACTGGTGCGTTGCTTCTCCACATCGTGACGTGCGTGTGGTATGCAGTGGGAGACCGTCCTGGTGGGTGGGTACGAGAGCAGGGCTTCGAGAGCTTTCCACAATCAGTCCAATATCGCATCGCTACAGAGTGGGCGCTTTCTCGACTCCCACCTTCGCGAATCCCTGACAATATGCTCCTGAACACCCAGGAGGAGCGGGGAGTGGCTGTGTTGGTAACAACCTTGGCCATGGTCTTTGCCTCCATTTTCACTTCCATTGTCACGAACGACATGTCAGACATTCGTCGTGCCCATGCAGCGCAAAGGAAGTCGCATGATCAGCTTTCTAAATACCTCGCAACCTATCCGGTACCCTGGGACTTGGAGAAGGAGCTGCAGGCATACCTCCACCGCAACCAGTCCCTGGTTCAGCCACCGCAAAAGCGAGAAATGGCATCCTTGCTCCCGGCTTTTCTATACCGCGAGCTGTGCAGAGAAGCGCTTTCGCCGGTCATAGCGAAACACGATTTCCTCTCTGGCCTCAAATTCCGTTATCCTTCCTTCCACATGGACCTTTGTGTGGAGTGCCTTAGCGAATGGCACTTGGCGTCGGAAGAGATCTTGTTCTCCAATGGTCCACTATGTCACAGCATGATGTTTGTGGCCAGTGGGGAGGTGGCCTACCGTAAGCTCCTGGGTTCTTGTTAAAGGGTTCAGTTTAAGATACCATAATAGGGTTCGACAGTAAATAGTATGGTTCCTTATTGTGCTAACTGGAATTAAGTCACTTATAGCAAGAACCCAGGCTCTCGGCGGAGTTCGCGAGTTCACCCCGGAGTGCTCGGACTGAGCTGCTGCACCAAATCAAAGGAATGAGTGTGGTACCCACGGCAGCATCGGCGACGATCGTCGAGGAGAAGCTGGGTTTTGGGGACTGGATGTGCGAGCAGCGTCTTGGTTCTTTTAAAGGGGTTGAAGTTAAGTTGTCATACTAGGGATCTATAGTAAACCAAATGAGTTCCTTATTATGGTAAGTTAGATAAATCCTTAACAACAGCCCAGGTGTCTTTGGACTGAATGGCATTTTCTTGGCACGGCCGTGTCGACACAGGGAGCCACAGTCCTTTGTCTTGCTGACGAGGTACTGATGAGGTATGCAGGTTTGCACAAAGAGGTGATGGCCGAACTAATTATATATTGCAGGATCTTCGTCGAAGTCTTGAATGGCGTCGCCGATGACGACTTGACAGATCTCTCCATTTCCATGGAGGATGTTCGGCAGCCAGTTGGTCCGAATTGATGCCTGCTCAACCGTAAAGGTTTGTGTATTTTTTTCCTGTGAAGTACTCACCGGAGGCATGGCCTTTTGAAAGTTGCCAGAATGCCTGCCGGACTGCGAGATATCGCTACTTCAAGACATTTGGTGTCCTGGTGTGGCATGCAACAGCAGAAATACCGCATGCCATAGCCAAAACATTTTCCCACCAGCAAACTGCCAAAGCGATGAAGTTGAACACCAGCCTGAAAGCCTCGAAATTTGTGCAACATCATGGCCATGCAGGAGCCTGTTTCGGCTTAGCTGGTTCGTTCATCCTTCTTCCATACTGCACACTATCTGTTGTATGTTCACCTCCATCGCAATTTTGCAGACACACGCCGGGTGGCCAGAACGTTTGAACAATAACTTTTTGTACTAGCCACCGCGAGACAGTAGAGCCGAGGCACGAGGTTCGATGCAGCTTCCGTTGCAAAACTTCAGATCTCCTTGTTTCTTGATGCTCCGCTCTCTGGCTCGACTTGACTAGCTAGGACCAAGAGTTCGTGGCTGCCTGTTTTTCAAGTCGCTTGGAGCCAAGCTCGCGACTTAGATTGTTTTCAGCGAGGCAGGGAATTTTTTTAATGCTTGTGCTCGCAAAGGACTCCGTTTAAACTTCCAGAATGGAAGAACTGAGAGCAAGGCTCCGTTTTGGACCAGAGCTTCAAGGCCCTGGTGAGTGCAGAATGCATCTCCAAAAAGGAGTCGTCGAACCGATTCCTACACGCTTTTCGCGGTGGCGTCATGTAAGGGTCTAATTTCTAATAGCTTTAGATCGATACACGGACATTGTTCTTCTTATACTCAAGGCCCCTATATGATGCCAAAGCGGGGGTTGTTCTGAACTGGGGTGCCACGATGTTCCCCGGAAATCCTGGCAGGAGGCTGTCAGATTTTGACGTGACAACTCCCACATGGCCGAAGGCCATAACACATTCCTTGAATCAAGAGCAGCAGAATGCCAAAGAGACAAAGCTTGAATTTAGTTCAGGAGTTCTGATGGCAATGGGGTCAGTCGTCTTTTAGTCTAAACTTCATGGGACATGAACGTCGGCACCACGATGGTCATCTGATCTGCTCACAGCATTTCGAGTGACTTGGGACAGGTCGTGTAGCATGCGTTCCCATGGAGCAAGACTGCGAGCGAAGTGAGGTGTCATCATGAACTCAATGTTTGCATTCAGTTTAGTGTAAGTTTTTGGATTTGAGCTGTTGATTCTGATTCTGTTCCGGTCGTGCGTGCCACACAACTTCGAGGACGGAATTTTCTTCCCGGGCCCAGGTTGTGGAAGCAAGGTGTGTCTGCTGAATTTCTTCCGTTTCTGCTAGTGAAGGGGCCTCACTAATTACCTATGCTATTTTGGATTGCTCCTCTTCATACTGATAGTATAATAGGCCCCAAAACCCTATGCTAATTATTAAGGCCTCTATACTAGCTTGTTGTAGGCTTTGATTGTCGCTGCAGCCTGGGTCTAGGCCTGGGCGCTGGCGAGCTGCGAATTCGGCAGGTTTCTGATTATATAGGTTAGAAGGGGCCCCCACCCTGTAATAGTGGTATAATAGGAATATAATAGGGCCCTAATATAATCATTATAGTCACTATCACAGCGTGGGGGCAGCTTCTAATATAGGGTTTAGGGTTTAGTGTTTGCAGTCTAGACGGGAGAGGATGGCCCAAGTATAGCGTCAGCCCCAAAGTGGATTGTAAGAAGTACATAGTTCCTTTGTTTGACAAGAGTTAGTTTCGAGTTTGCTGGTGTCTCATGAAGACCTTGACAGTCCAGCTTGCCGGCATACAACCAAACCCATGATGAAAAGGGTTTAATCCGTGTAATAGCCCTTATAGTAGCCCTTTAAAGGAGCCCTATTCTGATTATTAAGGCTTCTATGTTACATAACCCTACTATAGATCCCTTCTTAGCCCCTGTTTGAGGATCCCTTTAAAGGAACCTTATTCTAAGTGTTAAGGCCCCTATATCCCAAAAAGTTCCTTTTCGTACCCTTCTGGCCCCTTCTTAAGGATCCTTTTAAAGGAACCCTATTCTAATTATTAAGGCCCCTATGTTACATAATCCCGTATAGCCCGGGCCCTGTTTCCCTTAAAGGAAACCCTATTCTATTTATTAAGGCCCCCATTTTACCTAATCCCTTATAGCCCCTTTTTAAGGACCCCTTTAAAAGGAACCCTGTTCTAACCATTAAGGCCCCTAACTTCAGCCCCAGAGTGGCCCGGGGAGTTGTGGAGACTACGAGGCCACCGGCAGCGTCCAGTCCTTCCGCTCACAGCGATCGAGGCGAAGCTGCTTTTCGACTCTCTAGGCTTTAGGGTTCAGGGTTTAGGGTCTTTAGGGTCTATAGGGTTTAGGGTTTAAGGTATGTAGACTGGCTAGACTTGAGTCCAGTGGCAAAAAGGGTTTAAGGTATCCTAAAGCAACAAAAAGGGTACCCTAAATAACCTGGGGGCACTTCAGAGACGCTTCGTTCAAAAGGGTCCCCCTGAAAAAGGGTTCAGGGCACCCTAAACCCTAATCCTACGGTGGAGGGTGTATATGTGACAGAACATGCAGAACCTGTGTGGAATACAAGCTGCAAAACATAGAATCCAAATGAATAACAAGCACAACCTGCAAGATCATGAAGCTTCCGCATATTTGTATACAGTGCATACTAGATACTAGGTATAGGGTGTGATGTGCAGTAGTCGTGTTTAGTATACCGCATGTATTATATTGTGTTTAGTGTATCGTATTTCGTACACAGTAGATAGTAGGTAGCATACAGTATAGTATACAGTGTATAATCAAGAATGTACAAGGTTCAAGAAGCTGTATATACGGCACAGTCACTATGGCAGTGTTACATGCCATATGTATCATGTAGTAACCCATACAGTATGTAATTGGCAAAGTGGTTCAAGATATACAAGGACTTTATAGGATATGTTGTCGTCTACATGTCACAAAATGTGTAATCTACCTTTCGTTTATATTTCGTGTGTAGTATACAACATATATACCTTTACCGTGTAGCATGTGGTACCCACGTAATCGATATTATATGAATACAGTTAGATCTGCGTAACTTCTAATAAAGTTCGTGCATTCTGCAGTACAAGGTATAGAGGGAAAATACATATACACATATGTATATGTATATGTGTGTATATTTGTACATTATGTGTTGCAGTATGTAGTATACACAACGTAACATGAACTTGGTAGCATGCAGCAGATAATTTCTATTGTATAGAGTAGCTTTATGTACAACATCAACTGTAGTACTAGAAAGAGAATATGTTTTCACAACGTCTGATATAAAGGTTTTAATAAACAACACAAAGGATATGTTCGTAAGCACATGCAGTATGATGCAGAACATGCAACTTGTAAGATATGAGGTGTCGCCTGTAACACGTAACATGTAACATCCAGGAAAGTTTACAGGTTTTATATCAGGTAAAAGCTTGCATAAGACTGGACTTAAAGAGGACGCATCATTAAGCAAGAACGCTATAATGTCCAGTGTATACTCGTTGTGATATAACATGTGCACAGTATGTACGTAGTCATTGTGTTGTAGGTATGTACTTATACTGCTTACATATGAACCTGTACAGTCACTGTTACACACTACAATGTGTGGTAAGATGACATGTCAGAGAGCACACACACACGGACGCACACATACATGGATGCCTCAATGCATGCATGCATGCATTCATGTATGCATGCAGACGTACGTACATGCATGCATGCATGCGTATGCGCACACACACATGTACATGTAACGCAAAAAGAGAGAACGACACAGTTATACACACCTATGTGCTAATAGTATGTATTTCTGTATATGCATGCATGCATGTATGTGCATATGTATGTATATGCATACGTATATATATATGTATAACATTTGTATTTATATATATATATATATGTATACATGTACATAGAGTTGTGTGCATATATACGGTGCGCACGATGTATGTCCGCATAAGTCTGAGTGCATATTCTATATAGACTATTAATCGGCCTTCCATACAGCGTTTTTCAGTGAAGTGCGCATATAAAGAGTACATGCATACATGCAGGCGTTCATTCACATACACGCAGACACACAGACATGCAGGCATACATGCAGACAGACAGACATGCAGGCACACATGCAGACAGACAGACAGACAGACGAAACAGATGAGAACAGAGCAGAGAGACATACCCACGCGACTACCTACCTAGCAGCTAGCTACGAACCTACCTACTTGCCTGCCCTGCCTGCACCCCTAAACCTTCAACCCTCTGGTTTGTCCGAGTGTGAGCGCCGAAACCCCAAACCCTAAATCCAAATCCCAAATTTCAATTCCTAAACCCCTAAAACCCTTAACCCCAAACCCTAAACCCCGCAAACCCTAAACCCCAAACCCTACACCCCTAAAGCCCTTAACCGCAAAACCCCTAAAACCCCAAACCCTAAACCCTAAATTATTACCTGGTTCGTTGACCATTCGCTGCAGGTCCTCGTCACGGGGCGCCATGCCCGGCCTGGCATAAGCCACCAAGGCGATGGGGAGCTTTCTGGGGTTTGGGTTTCGGGTTTTTAGGGGTTTAGGGTTTTAGGGGTTTAGGGATTTAGGGGTTTAGGGTTTGGGTTTCGGGTTTTTAGGTGTTTAGGGTTTGTAGGGGTCTAGAGTTTGCGGGGTTTAGGATTTGGGGTTTAGGGTTTTAGCGGTTTGGGGTTTGGGGTTTCGGGTTTCGGGTTTAGGGTTTTAGGGGTTTTGCCGTTTAGATTTTCAGTGGTTTAGGGTTTGGGGTTTAGGGTTTGCGGGGTTTAGGGTTTGAGGTTAAGGGTTTTAGGGGTTTAGGGTTTGGGTTTAGGGTTTAGGGTTTTCCAGGCGGGCATATACAAGTCTGTGCAAAAAGGGTTTCGACGCTCACACTCGCACAGGCAGGCAAGGCTCCACATAGTTTAGGGTTTAGGGTTCAGGG